TCTGTTTCCTAAATGTCATTGAACTACTCTTATTCTCTCAACTCCTAGGCGTGCCTAATATGCATGGAGATATAAACATTCCTATCAATTAAATACAGGGTTTCCTTTTGATAAATTTCAAACTAGCAAGAATAAACAGCATTTCAGTAAGATAATGCGATTTCAGATATTTCGGGTCTCCTCAGCAGCTGTTAACAAACAATCCGTTGAATAATCGTGCTGAAGGTCAAATAAATGACATTTGGCAAGCATTTAGTAACCCCCGTTCTCAGAACAACAAAATAGCATTTCTTTACTTTTTTCTCTATTTCCCCAGGTGGTAATGTCACGCGCTGCCGAAACGCGGATCACTGAAGTGAAATATAAATTCCATAACATATCCCAACACTTATTAAATGCACTAGTACACGATGTAATAGCAAATAAAGGGGATGTATCATATTCACTAATAAAAAACTCTCGCCTCACCTTTGATTAAACTGATATCTGCGAATACTGTAGACTCGTTTTTGACGGAGGTAAAAAGATGGTTGCGGCTTCTTCATACGGTGTATCTACCGCCGCCCATCACTGTGGCACAGACCACAGACCACTGTGTCAAACAAACAACTGGTCGGAGGAACTTCAAAACACCAGTAGTATTCTGTTACATTTGAACCTCACTACTTAGACTGTTTGAATATGTTTCAAATATTTACTCACAATGGTGGTAGCGACGTGCTTTATGACCAGCAAGTAATGGTAGTCTTCAAGAGCTTTTCTATATTTGTGCTTTCATGATGGGACCGACATGGTCCAGAACCGAATTCAGTGTAGTGATAATAAGGGTACAAAATTCACTTTCACTCTACCCGGAAAAACACCAAGAAATAAACAAAATGATACATGCTACTGGTCATGTTGTTTGATCAACTGCGAGGCATTCGCATCGCTCGTAAGTTATGTGCCAGGGGATAAATTCTTCCCCACATACGACTCAGAAGTTGCGGATGAAATCTTTTCTTACTATGAAACAACGTTTAAATACTAGTGTCCAGTTTTGCTATACACCCCTTAACACTACTATAAGCATCAGTGTCAGTGTACAAATTAAGATAATAAGCAATCAACTGGTAAGCATGTACAGGTTATCCCACGAATTCGCCATATTATTTCAGTTCCATGATATTGTTTACATCTTAGAATCAAGACAGGCTGAGACACAACAGTAGGAAAAACACCGCGTTTTTGTTGTCGCAAATAAACCGAAGAAATTATAAGATCTTCTAAAGAGACGGAGTCGATGTATGAAGGACGAGTCACGTGCATCGCATTTTGTACCCCCGTATCAGCGGAGAATACCATAATCAATAGCATCCTTCACAAAAATTAGTTTTTCGCATTTCAGTGGTGGTGTAAATAAACCGCGAGAGCTATTCACAAAGCTGCATACGGATGACGTATCTTGGATAGTTAACTGTCACATAGCAGAAATAAATAAGTCACTAGATGCCATAAAGCAGTCTTTCCATGTTGGTCCTTATATCTCCATACTTTTCGTGATTTATTCACAGAGCAATGACAGACAGCACCTTTTCGTTGCACTGGAAACGATTTGTTGTTGCAGAGTATAAACTGTGTCGAAACGGGAGCTATCAACTTATAGCCGGAGCAAACATATTTCCATAGTTTGTGTTGTTAGGAAGAGGATTAGATTAGTTACAACTTCCCAGTTTCTACTATAAATGAACCTGATCAGCCAATTGCAACGAACTTCCTGAATAACATCACAAGCACAGCAGACGGAGGAAATTTTGTAATAATATGTTCCTCAACAAGTCAACCTTCTGACAAAGTGTCCCAGCGCAGGCTTCTGAAAACGCTAGCAGACTGAGTCATTGCTAACACCCTACTCCCTTGGGTCTATTCATACTTTACTAACAGAACCAGACTAGTCGCTATTAATAAAAAGAACATCTTGTCGCATTCTCGGGACAAATCGCATTATTTAAAGCAGCGTTTGGACCTACTTCCTTGCAACATCTGCATCCAACACATTTTGATATTTTTCTCCGTTGTAGGCCTTACACCTTTCAGATGACCTAGAGGTAGTGTACCTGTTCGATTTCTGAGAATAGGATTCCATGTTCTGAGACCTGTAAACTGATTAGAATGCGCCTGATGGATAATGTCGTACCACTAGAATTATCAAATCGCTAACAATTATTGGTGAAACATTGATAGGCGCAACCAGGAAAGAAATTTAGGGTTCCATTATTCCAGCAGTCTTAACATCTCTGCGCATGCACAATGTACCATGGATAATGCCAAGGAAACGAATGTCATGTTTCTGTTAATTCTTTTACGTTAACCACCGCTAAAACTATACTGTACAATACTAGTGTACGCACAACATGGGATTATTGTCCTATGGTATTTAACAGCACGAACCAGGATGAACGGCTCTTCTAGAATAGGTTCAGCGCCTCACAAAACGGATACTGAATTCTGCTCAACCATTCACGTACTCTCAGCTTTGCATACTACTGCTACCAGACCCCATGTGGGTGCGTTGCCTAGAGTTTAAAATGTCGCTTTTTCACCTAATGGGCGTATATATATATATATATATATATATATATATATTTGGATACTCCCTCCATCCACTATGCACCACATGTATTATTGCCGCAATAAGAATTCACACTGACAGTTGCAAAGTCGATTACCAACATGCACGAAAGTATTTTCTCTTCAGATGGATATCGATTCTGATACGTTTTCCATTGTACATTAAGTCATGCATGTCTCTTGATACCTTCCGTCTCCAGACCAATAAATTTTATAACTTACAACAGTTATAGAACACCTCAAAATAAATATCGCCATAACAGAAATCTCTCAGAATAGACCAAGTAGCACCTAATAACATGTTTGCTAATTCTTGGTCGTGCACAGAAAGGCTAATTATTTTACCATAGAAGCCACAGGAAACTACGTACAATTTCTATATGCAGTATTCTAACCATTATTACCTTTTCTGTTTACCTGAGTACATCTACCTCATGGCTTGTAAATCAAATTAGTGACTAAAGAATAAAACATAAACATAGTCCTCATCCGCATTCACCCGACCACTGTTATATTCTGTTCTTACTCAAACACGCGTGCCTCAAGGCGTGTATGTCCACGCGGCGGTCGACCTCAGGCAGTAAACTAATCCGTATTCTCATTTCTCGGAACCCTGTTAAGCTGTCCCATTAACCATCCATAACCACCGAAAAGTGTTTATGTCCTCTTGGAGCACCATGAAATAAAGTATCCCTGTTTCTCGTCTACGTGTTTTTTTACCAATAATTGTGTTTTCTCGATCATTCTATCTAGCGCTGATTCCAATATTCGCTATAGTTACTTGGTTTACCGTTACGCATATGCGTGGAAATTCCTACCACTGAACATTAGAGTTCTGAGTGGAAATCATTGCTTAAACGCTTATTTTCTTGAGCAAACTCCTGAGAAGCACCTCTGTATCGGAATTTCTGTACGTTATAGCACCCACTGACGGTAGAAGAGAACACTGTCCTAACCGATTCCAGTGACGTGCCTTCATGAACACTCTAGGGACCAGTTGACAAGCATGTTTCCCAAAACACGTCTTTCCTAATCTACACTGAAGAAAACATCATTCTTGAGTTACCCATATTGCTATAACACCAACGTTTCATAATTGATCAAATGGACCCGATCATAACAGTCTTCTCCACTAACACATCGATTACCTTGTTAGATGTGCTATTTTTACAACGATTCGCACGTAATTTGCATGCAATTGTTAAAACCATCTTTGCGTAGGCTTAGATGATGGGCGTCTTACTTCTGTATTAATAACGCTGGACCACTAATCTTCTTTATCTAGAGGAGAAATCAATCCTTTCAGCTAAAACCATCCTGGTCTGCAGTGCTTCGCCCACCATTCAGCTGCCCCCTACAGCGCTGCATTGACAGAATCTGCCGTAGTCTAATTAAAAGTGAAGTCTCATTGTACTGTTCAGGAATATATCCTCCAAAATGTCCATTTCGATGAGAATAATATTGTAAACAAACTTTTCCTTTAGCTTTGAACCTGGAGACAAACCACTGAATAATATGCTACATGAAAAAGGACCGCTGATCTTGATTTTATTCATGAGTAAAAGCAGCCACGTCCTCCGCTGTGCCAGGCGTTGCTCACGGACCTTAGAGCCATAATGATCAAAGCGTCAGCCCATAATCACTAGGCCTTGATTTCCACCTCAGCTAGGGCTATCTCCATCTGTTAAGCCCAAAAGATGACGAGACCGTTTATAGAGTTTCAGTGATTGGAGGAACAACACCGAGCCACTAGCTATATCCTTGTCAGCAAAGTCAGTTCACGGCTAGTGGTGTGTTGGGAACAACACACTCTGTGGAAATGCAACACGTCGTCGCTGACTCTCCACTGCCAAGAGAGAAGATCATGTAGGTATTTCAGCATACGAGTGTCAGCACAAACGTTAGACACAACAACACGCATCATTTTTGACCTGGAAATTAGCCTACTAACACAACTACGTTTCATAAACTGCTAATATACATTTTGTGTGCTAGCCAACGCTCAACATATGGTCGGTGCATTGCTTTTCGTCTGACCAACTGATCACTCCAAATGAGGTGTGTCTCACCTGATGGAGATGATACGTATCTAACCATTTAATTGAACAATCAACACTCAATCCCTTCGGACATTTTAATAATGAACAATGAACAATGATTTATCACGAGATGAAAGCAAGTGCTTGACACGTCCCGTAGGATGGTAGCGGTGAATATGATGCAATTAAAATATGTGTGAGTCATCTATCGAACGTCTGCCGAGATGGATACTTTGATAATTAACATCAGTGTGAAATGAAAAAGAAATATCGTGCGTAAACATTCAGAAAGACACTGGGGCGCAGTGATAGTTGAGGTAAGGAGTGAGAAAATAAAATATGGTCGCTCACTTAGGTCCATTTGATACATTAGTCCTGTTGAAAACATGCTTGGCGTAATCCACAACAGAGGAGCTTAGGTAATAAAATGTTGGGAGCTGAGAGCAACATCTAATCGTTTTTTGAAAACATCCAGGGTAGGAGAGGATACTACTGAGTCTGAGAGTGCGTTCCATGGTTTGCAAACTCGAAGGGAAATGTAATTCCGTCGACACTCTAGACGGCTGTATTGTTCCTTCAACTTTAAGCAGTTACCCCTGAGCTGCGTGTTGTGGCTAAGTTTCAGCAAATGGCGGCATACGTGGTTGGGGTCACTCAATATCTGATACGCTAATATGAGATCGTCGCGCAGCCTTCGATAACGTCCGCTGAAAATTCCCAGCAACTCCTGTCAACCGATAAAGCGTACCGTATCTTACACAATCAACAGAAAAAATATTTATATGTCAATATTGTGAAGACAAAAATCGACTAAAATCGCTCAACAGCAATGGTCTGCACTGTTTCGGTATTGCATGTTAACTATAATCACATCCTTCTACGATGGTTTCCTTTTAAATTAGTTTGAAATACCATGTGCAAAAGAAAACTAAATAAACCCATAATCTTATGTCTCGGATTACGCAAGGCATATTTGATGAATAATATCTACGCGCTTTTGCTCCACTAGAAAGTAAAGACAGGTTGCTTTACTTGTGTAACTGTCCAGATGGTTAAATCCAAATGTTGGGGTCGGTGTCTGAAGGAAGTAAACCGTTACATTTCTGTCCTCTGCACCAGTGTTTGCAAAGCTTGGCGAAAGTTACTAGGTGACAACACGCAACAGATTGTATCAGTGCATTCTACACATCGGGCACCACATTTGATTGTTAACTGAAACGTGTTATTAGAACATAAAAAGCTACCAAGCCAAACAGAAGTTTTATTTAACACTTCAACACAGCGTGACATTAAACGCAGACAAAAACCTCAATAAAAATGAGTGAGTTGTGTCGTTACAAGTTTGAAATTGCCGATACATGATCGCAAATTCAATTGGTTAAAGAACAATAGATTTACGTTAAGAACTTTTCGCTCACACCCACAGAATCACCTATCTAATGTGACCGACGTAGAGACTAGGTTGGGTGAGAAATGACAGATGCTTCCATTCAGCTAGCCTGAAAACCCATTTTTAGACTCTCATCCTGTACGCTGAAAATCTTAGAATGTTGCAGTAGCTAAATCAGTTAATCTGAGATTAGGAAAAGAGAAATGAATGAACCTAACTATTTCTCTTTTCCGAACTTGTCTTTATATAACTGCGATTTTACCCTCTGTAAAATATTGTTTCCCTTAGCTACCATGGTTCTTGAGGCATAAAGCTTGCTGTATTTCGCTATAGCCAGAAAGCACTAGTTTAGTATAAAAGTATTACAAAGTTACTAATAAAAACTACCAAAGCACAGTCGCTTAGTTCGAGCTAATGATGAAGAGTTCTTCAGACATGCACCATGAATAGCTGCCTATCCAAATGTGGGATAATACACAGGAAGGCGAAAAAACCTCACCAGTGTGGTACACTCTTTCAATGTGTGAAAACTGTTTAGTGTACAAATAGCAATAACTTCCATTTTGCTATGCTGATGATCACGTTACAATCGTTTGAGATCTGTGCAGTCTTAGGCAAAGCAAACATATTCCTAAGCAATTCCCAGTCTAATTCCCATATCATATATTTAGTCTTCAACTCGATTTTTTGAGGACAACAAGCCCTAACGAAAAATACTCTTGTCAATTAATCATTGAGTAGCTCATAATAATAAATTTGGATGATTTATCCATGCTGCGTGGTTCTTGTCGAAAAGAGTGACAAGAAACGTCTTTTGGCCTCTAATGAGAGGCGACATCAATTATTGCCTGACGGATAAAATTGCGAGTCAGCAAAGGTGCAGACTTTTACATAGGAATAGGTTTACAACTTAGTAAAGTAGTGTGCCCTCTCCCTTTTGTCATCTACCCATACGTATTGATAAATCATCAGTGCCGGTCAAATTATGAAAAGCATTAGTAAGAAAAAGTGACTTACCGAAAGTGTTGTAAAATAAAGATACTCACGATTAAAACGATAATTGAAAGAGCGTATCCGATGAGGTAAATATTAAACTGAATGTTGTACATCTGAAAGATGGATGAAAAGCTATGCTATAGCAAATAGAGAGATGTTCAAGTGGAGTAGCAATATTTTTGTGCTCTTAAGTGTTCGGGAAAAAGTGGATTAAATAGGAGCTGTGCGACCCATTAAAGATTGCACTTACCCACAAGTGTGCACGGTTTCCACAGGGCCAGTGTTTATTGTGTGTTCTGACGGATGAATCAACCACCATAAAATAGCAATACAGTTTTAGTTTCTTTTCGTACGCACAAATGGTTTCGCGCACTACCCGTTTGAGAGCTTTGTTAACGTAGCGCCTTTGGTTTCAGTAATTGGGATAAACTGATGACTGTACCAGCCACTGGTAATTTTAACGTACGAAAGTGCGGAAATAGCCATAATATAGGCAGAATGTTTTATGCGGTTCTCTATCTATTTCGTTGCATCTATAGATTGTGTACCAGAAGCCTTGCTGTGTCTATCCCACAAGCAGTATGAGTATTCCAAAAATAGTGCAAAACTAAGGTTGTCACAGATTATAAAGAGTCGGTGCAGAAAATTAACTGCTTTATGGTACGAACGCCTTCCCTGCTCAATACGGACGGATGAATACACCTGGAAGCTGAATAACCGTTCAAATATTAGTTTATTTCCTGGAATGTTTTGGATGTTTCCGAATAACAGGTTTGACAAAGTGCTACTTCAGATCTTTCCTTTGGTCTTAAGTCGTTTTGCTAGAACAGTAATTCATGACAACTTAGATATTCTAGTAACCTGAATTTTCCATGAACAAATACTTTATAACAGCTTATATGTATGTAGCTATGATTAGTTATGTTTGATGGCGAAAGGAATCAAGCATGGCTTCAAAATATAAGTAACTACGGTGAACTGTAAAGATCAGACGCAAAAAATGTACTATCAGATAGGTACAGTCACATCCACGTTCAGTGAAAACTGTAATCGTTATTTCGGAGTTACTTTATTATTAAAATTGGATTTTAAGTAACTGTGTATCTCCGTCTATACAAGAGATATTAGGTAGTCCACAGTTATCCTAACCGTACATGCAATTTAAATGATACCAGCTGATAGTTTCGCAACCCAAACCCTAAACGTTCGAAGCTACTAGCACGATGACATCGCAGCTACTCGGTTAAATGAACTTTGTCGAAGTACAGGTCGGTCAGCAGACTGACGGATGCCTCATGATCCCTACTCCGAAATTATTTACTGAAACTAATAACAGTTAGATAGGTGAAGTTCAGGCCTTTGCATTCTTTCGATATGTAACCTAATCAAGCATATTAAAACTTTACAAGGGAAAGTAGGCCACGATACTAACCTCAACTTCGGGGAACACCGAAGCATACGCTCCTAATTTTGGAAAGAATACAACTTCACTAAAGCAAATGGCAGCCACTGTAATGTAGTTAGTGCTTTAAAACAACAATTGGAGGAAGCTCTGAATGGAGCAGATTTGATGCCGTTTCGAATTGAAAATATTTCAAAGCCTTGTAGGTAGCCTGTATCAATGTGGCCTAATCTTTGCTTGTGTCTAAAAGGGTCGTTTGCAAGGTAAGTCCAAGAAAGCATTTGTGCATGCGGTCAACTTTCTAGGAGACAGAGCCTCAAATAGCACATAGTTACCGTTCCGTAGTGACTTGATAAGAAGGTACAGTAGAAAGCGATTATACTTGGCTCAGAATTAGACAAGTGAAGTTTTCATCATAGGTGAACTCCTAACTTTTATGTACAAGGTTGCGTAACTGCAGCCCGTATATCATATAGCTGGTTAAATAACAAACTACGAGCACTGGTTTGACTGAGAGGTCTTATAATATTATTGCTGGTTAGACAAGCGTCAGCCAGCTTGAAATCAGTTGCAATTTGGCGCAAAAATCAGCGGGTCGCATCCAACCATACGGTGTCCCTTTAATCTAAGCTTCATTTTTAGATTTTTGCGTTAATTTCATCCAGCTCCCTACAGTTTCTATTAACTCAAATTAATCCGTATGTGTGTCCAGAAACTTCAAACGAAATTTCCTAATTACTCAATCTTGCAGTCCACATTTTGACAGCGCAGCCACAATTGTAATTTCCTTATCATTACTACTGAATTTACAAATTGTGGTACACGTCACTTGGTATTACACTTCAAGTCTCAATGCGCGTGAACCCTTCTTTAGATTGTTGTATGCTGAGGACGCACAAATATGCGTCTTTGATTGATGGCGATTGCGCTCACCCTGCACATCGAGATTCGACCAAGTTTACTTTGTTTTCTGTTCCTCGCCACAAGTCCGTGAGTTAGACGTTGTGCCTTTTTGATTAGAAGAATGCATAAACCAAAAGTTCATTAAAGAGTGCACTTTTGCTCTGAGTAACTTTTCCTGATATGCAAAATGGCTAAAACATCGCCATTATGTTTCCGTGCAGCTATCAGCCAAGTAGCTGAAGCATGTATAAAATCGAATGGCAAGTGTGAGCGGATATGGTGAAAGACCCGAGAAATGCCGTCCCATAAACTGCACAAGGGCAAGGAAGGAAGAATACAGCGTTCGGAGATTAAAATGTGCACGCCCTTTACATTAGCGCGTGGGTAGAGCAAAACTTAATTCTGGCGATAAACTAATTAGTAATGTTAGCGGATGCTATAACTTGGTAGGGAGTTCTAACGAGGCTGCGCTGAACATTCATTTTGGTAGTTCATTCTACCTTGGATACTGGACCTCGGAACGCAAAGCAACCAAAATATGCATCGGCACTATTAATATTGATTTTGCGATTATTAAAATATGCTTGCCGCAGCAGTGCGCTTTATCAGCATCGATGCATATAGTACCTAGTGGCGAATTTTCAATACTGCTTTGTAGTTGCAAAAATAATTAACAACCACATTGGGTAGAAAATATCAAAACCTACCAGTAAAGAATATCTTATAAATTTCGTGTTTTCAACATTTGCGAACACTTTTTGCCAACCTTTTAGTTATAATCTAACTGGGGATAGGGCAAAATCGCAAAATTTCACGGGAGAGATACTACCCAGGTCCATGAATTTTCAGTTAACTATTACTTGTGTGAAAGGTTCTATTTTGTATTTCGCGCGGACTCACTGTTCCTGTTTTGTCTTCACAAACAAAGCTTTGACGAAAGTACTTAATATACACTTCCTACATCGTTCGGGTAAAAAGCGTAACTGATTTACCTTACATTATTTTAAATAAACAAATGCGTGCCTTTTCCAGGGTCATTACGTCAAATATACATTTTGAAATAAAATATGTATGATGATTGAGGATAATTTAATTGTGTGCAGTCCATTTGCGTTTTTCTATTTTTTTCACTATCGATGCAGTGGATGGCAGACTGAAATTTGAGATTCGCCATCCCAAGCAGTAAGTTCATGCAAGAAAACCATTTTACCCATTTTAAGCGGTTTTGTCTGGTGTGTTATTTACTAGTACCGGAATCTGTGGGGCTCAATTTTCAATGTGCATTTCTTGCTATATCAAACACTAAATCCAACAAAAAGTAAGGCTGCAGAACTGCGAATGTCCGATTCGTTATTTTTTCCTCTTTTCTCGGCCGTTTGACAGATGCTAGTTTTTCTCTTTACAATCGATTTTCCATGACCAGTGAACTAACACCCTTCCCATTCCGAAGGCTTCAAGTGATCGTAAGTCATGATGAAGTACTTATATCTGCAGGTATGTTGTAAGCTCATTTGGCTAATATGTACTAGTTTCTATTCCTTAAAAGATGCCAGCCGGAGTCGGACTTGTTTTCCTCAAAATCTCTGTACTATCCTTGTTATGCGCCAAGATGTTGGGTTAAATTCTGTTTGGACGGTTTACAAATGCTTGTCATTGTTAATGACATTGCATTCTTCATATTCTTCCTTATTTCATTGCTTACCACGACTTGGCCGATCTCTTATGTGACTGTTTGAAGACACTGACTTACTGACGCGATTGATGAAGAACTACAGTGCAGAGTCATCTTTTTGGGATACAAAAACGCCAAGTTCAAAATAAACGAATGATGGATCGGGTTAGGTGGCCCGGTCACCCCTAAAATATACATAATAAACAGCACTAAAATCTGGGAAAAGCAGGATGGCGCAGTACAATTTTGCCGCACCGGCGAACAGTCAGATGCAGCATAGAAATACCTGTAATACCTTTCGACGGAATGTGCTGCATGGTAGCAGAATCCCTGGAGAATGTTCCATAGAGGGCCGCGTTACTTTACTTACACATTTGACTAAAGCTGTATAGGTAACCGTTTTTGGTTTCGTAATCGCTCTACTACCTTCCCCCTACTAATCACTAAAAATCTATTTCTGCTCCACTGTAAAATCTGAACAAGAACCTGTTTCCAATGCTGAATAGTTCTCGTTTAAGTTATAAAAAACGATATGGTAAACAAGCTCGTTTTCAGTGATCCATTGACAGACCAAATATAACGCATCAAAATAGTTAACAATAGAAAGGATGGAATGAGTAATTAAAAACGAATTTGTCAAAATAACAAAATGGGTACACATTGTTCATACGAATGTTTCTCCGGCGGCAGCTTGCTATGTTAAAGTAAAGTATTGACGAACTGCGCACCCCCGTTGCGCATCCTACAGCATCTGATAAGCTTGGAATGGACACCCCTCACAAAATAGGTTGGGCGAAATGCTTTAGTGTTAATGATGGGATGATTCGTTTGGACTAGTTCAGCGACTATTGGGATGGCGCAGATCTTGTTCAAACTTTGGTTTGGTAAAGCTGGTTGATGCCCGCGGACGCGTCTCGTAGTGCATGTAACTTTTCCCATAGGAACAGGCAAATTGGTGCACACCAAGATTGGTGGCACCTACTGGCAGTTTATCTTTCAGCTGAAGGTGTAGCATGGGCGTGGAAGTGAAGGATATTGCGTAACTGTGCATCCCCGTACGTTTTAATGTTGCCCATTCTTATGCTTTACTAAGGTGTTCGAAACTGTTGTCCCCTTTAAATGGCAACGCTGGGTAGAAGAGTTTCTTTTTTACTGTGGGTGCGTTGACTACCACATGGTCAGTTCGATTATCCCTATTATTAAAGGCCTCAGGATAGCTGTTATTAAGGAAGAGTTCTTATTACAGCACGCTTTACTCCAATTGTGTCCTCAGAGCATAATTCCATTGCACTTCCGATAAGACACCAAACAAGATACTTTTTCTGTCGGACTAGGATAAAGCTAGTGTAGTCCGTATATTGACTGGTCCATGTCACCTACGTGGCCGTAAAATTAAGCAACAACTTCCCTTTCACTCCCAAGCTACACCCCCAGCTGAAGCATAAACTGCCTGTGGATGCCACCAATCTTGGTGTGTACCTGTTTCTGTAGGACAAGTTACATGCATCAGGATACCCTTGTCTGAACGCTTCCGCGGGCATCACCCGGTGTTACTAAATGAAAGACTGAACAAAAACTGAGCCATCGCAACAGTCGTTGAACTAGTCCAAACGAATCATCCCATCATTATCACTACAGCATTTCGCCCAATCTATGGTATGAGGGGTCTCCATTCCAAGATTTTCAGATGCTGAATCATTGTATTGGAGATGAGATCGCGATTCGTTTGAACAGCCTTCGTTGTGTGTGCATAAGCAGTTCGTCAATCCTTCGGCTTTACTACTGCCAGTTGTCGTCCAAGAAGCTCCCGCATGAACAAATTACCTGTTTCATGTCAGCGTGTACAGATTGATCAGGCCACTCATTCATCGAGGAACATGCCGTTCATTCAATTGTTTATTCATGGAAAATCGCGCTTGACAACTCTGTGACCAAATGATTGTTGTAAACATGTAACCGTACTTTTCGAAAGGTTAGGCGGACTCATTATTTCTATGTGGCTCCTACACGCACGGTCATATGTTGTGCTGCTGCACGTGACGCACCTAGCGCTCACATGAAAATTACATCCTAATTGACCTTTGATTCAAACTGCATGCTTTCGTTGTTCAACAAATTGTAGCGTGATGGATTATTTCGGGCAAAGGTCAGCTGAGTAGCTTTCATTTTATACCTTATTAATGACCACAAACATTAAAATAATTGTTCATCTATGCGTAGCTGATGCAAATATGCATTGTAATTTACAACATTTCATGAATCAGACCCTTACGGTGGTCCAAAACTCAAAAGTCTCTAACGGTTAGCAGCGAATTAAAGCGTTGTGTATAATATAAATCACCGAAAGTTTACTGGAAACTTTATATCCAACCTCAGAACGCGCTTTCAATGGAACACTTTATTAATAGAGTTCTACCAGAATTCCCAGCGCAATATCAAATTAATCCTGTGTGAACTTCAAAGTGTGCACTTTGTATGACAAGTCCAGTATATCGTTACAATGTTTTGAAAAGTAAAAGGTCCATCATATATACCATCTTAATTCTCGAATGATCTACTATCCTCCATCGTTTGTCGCATCATCTAGGAAGGTCTATACGGGTTGTGCCAAGGTCGGACCGATAAATCTTGCTCTTCGTAGGGTGAATGCGTAGGGCTATGGTCCCTATCGTTATGGCCAAAGAACGAAGGGACTTTAATCAAGCGAAATATGTGCACGCGTTTGTCCATCCCTTTTCAGTAAAAAGAGCTTACAACACAATTATATTTAATGTTTGGCCGTTTTCCACCATTCGCTTACTGATATTTCCTACCGCCGTAATTTTCATGCTTTCGGTTATCAATTTAGACCTCCTTACTCCATGCAGCCTCGCTGTTTCATAAGCTAACAGATTAGTCTGACTCTCGCATAAATGAGTAGCTTGAAACCGATGGGACTCCTATGAGAGTTTGCACTACCGTTAAAATGTTCTGTTTCTTAAATTATTATTTTTTCTTAAAGCCTCATTTGTCTTTCAAGTGCTAATATGTACAAGTATCTCCTTATTATGTTCAAGCGTAAGGTTCATTGTCTGTTGAGGACATATTTATTTTTAGAAGTCGCAGCAATCTGAATTAGCTATTTTACTAGTTGCTGAATGCTTTTCAATCTACTGTTCAGTCAGCATCCATCCGATTAAACGGATTCATCTTACCCAACCATTGTTTCCAATACACGTGTGTTGGCCACTGGTTGTTCAAGTCGTATGTTCACAATGGGCAGATTGCTTGTAAAAAAAACAGTTTGAACTTCTATGCCATATTGATTTGGTTAGAAATATACAATAATACATTCTCGTGCATATTTTTATGTGTTGCAATTTGAAGTGGTTTGCTGCGCTTTGTAGAACGAATTCCACACGAGTAACCTCTGTTACGGATGTACTGCGGGCTCGCATCAGACGTACACTGTGAATCAAATGAACTAGATTGGAGTTCTTCCTTTATAACGTGTTAGTTGTGGTTCTGTTTCTGTAATTGAATATGATTGCTTCCCTGTATCCCTGATCCAGCAGTCCGTATGTAAAACAGCGCATTACACGCTAAGTAATTTAACACTACACCTTGTGGTCTTGATGAACAAACAGACAGCAATGGTTCATATATTATACTGCTTATGTTACCAGCCCGTGAGGCGGGTTAAGGATATATCTCCGCGTTACTTCTCATTTAATTTACTAACGCTGTTCACAAACCCTGAAAAAACGTAACTATATATATGTCTGAAGTAAAGTTATGTATAAGACTAGTCCAGTTTAGATGGCAAAAAATTGAATAATACTCACCAGTGATTTTCCGACAGCAGTGCAGTTGAGGTGGCCGGCTTTGTGAAAACAAGACCCGTTGTGATAGCAAAACTGGCTACAGGTTTCTGAAAGCAAAAATGGAAAAATTCAATCTGGTTAGCTACTAATTAATATAATAGGCACTAAACTATACTGCTTTTAAACATCCGGTATTGAGATTGATCTATCGAGAAGGAAGAGAATCGAACGGTACTGTACAGCTAATATTTTGACAAGTTCTGAGTTAGTTGAATGATCAATTGTTCCCTAATTTTGCTTCTTCGTTGTATAACAAAACTAACACCGTCAGCGAAACTAGCCAATCCAACGAGAACAACGCGTTGGTAAGAAGAACAAGTGTGAATGGGTCAGCTTAGCGCTGTATGGTTGATAAATAGCAAATCGCTGCAATTTCCCGTAGGTTTCATGTAATGGCAGTGCAAACTTTACAGCAATTCTGGCTATGGAAGCCACAGGATCTCCGGAAGATATGAACTTTGGTACCAAACTTATAAATGAGAAAGTCTATAAACCCAAATGGGATCAAGTTACTACACAAATGGTAAAGGTAAACATTCGTTACATTTAGATTATGTTAGCCCGCCCTCAAGAGTCCGGAAAAGCATTGTTGGACAGTTTCACCCTTTCGAGAATCTTCAGCAGTTCGCAGTCCATCTGACCCTTGTAAGGCAAGGACCTATGGCTCTACTGTTTCCAGTCTGTAGTTGAAACCACTGAGCTATGGGGGATGGCAAGGACCGTTTGAATTAAGTTATTATGTGTGACATAGCGCCGCACTTTAACCACTGACTTACATGTTACTACAGCGCAGAGCACAAAGTAGCCTCTTCACCAATACTAAATATTTGTAAAAAAGTACGCAGATCAAACTGCTTAGAATGCCATAATTTAACTGATGGCTTAAGTCTGCTAACTTCGTCTCTTGGTAACGCGGCTACCCTGCTCTCTCTGCTGGGCAGTAAGGTGCAAGTTAAGGGATAATGAGCGGCGCTATATTACACCTAGACACAACAGTTGTTTCCGTCCAAAATAGCTCCGCGGCTTCAACCAAAATCTGGAAACAACAGAGTCGCAGTTTCGAGCCTTACAAAGCCCACATGAAATGAGCACTACTGTAAAATCCCAAAGAGATGAAACGATCGTATAGTGCTTTTCCAGGCATGAACATGCTGTCTGACATAGTCTAGCTGTAACGAGTCACTACCAATACCAACCAACTCCCCCTACTACTCCCGTACAAATGTCAGTCTACAGTGCAACTGGCTCCTAGCATAAGTAATTTCTTTGCCTGTACTTAAAACGAACATTTCCATCGATGACCTTACTGACTGACTGTTTGGTTTAAAAGAGTACCATAAGATATCCTATCTGTTAAGACATTGCATAACGTTGTCGGGCTAGTGTTCACTATAAGCTTTATCCAAGTTTCTGGAGAAAGAAAATGTCACTAAGTTATTCCAAATTACCCCTAGCGCGTTAGCGTCGGATGAATTTACGCGGCAGTGGTGCTAGTCCAGCAGTCCAGAAAAATTACACAGTGATTAAATCGATAAAGTATATGCATCTGGTGCTTAGTGAATTTCACCGACACCATAAACTGTAACCAGTTGTTATTTATAAAAGGTTTGTCGACAAGCTGGAGAGTTGAATTATTCCAGCTAATATTGCAGAAATGCCAAAATGTCAGATAACCTCTCAAACAAAACAGAAACTTATGTCCGGTATATTTTTGTAAATTCTAACTGCAAATAACGAGGACAAAACTTCGCGAAATTGCTCATATATTTGAAGCTTTGGATATAGGATGATCACATTTGGCAAGGCTTAGTATCGATTGCCAAAAGCCACATTTTTGCTTTTCTGATGACAACCGATGAAAGGAGGGTTGAGTTGTATTAGACCCCCTTTCCAACAACACTTTGAGGTTTCCTCGTCATTAACAGCTCAGTGACTATAATCCCTTTGATCCAAACAATAACCTTTGACAACCATGCTAAGTTTCAGCAAGCAGTGAAGTCGAGATGCACAATATATGTGTACTATCCAGGCAGATCAGATAACATGTGAGCGCTTTCCGACTGAGTGCACAGTTTATGGTAGTCAAGAAAAGCACAGTAATCTGAGTATACAGAATTTAATTAAGAACTTTGTGCATAATTCCATTATGTTCCTCTGTAAAGCAACTAAGCGCTGCGCTGTTGTCTAGATGACTCGTAAAACATTAAAAATACACCCACTTGCAGCTACATGCGCGCTGCGCGTACAGCTCTTTGCATGACCCATGCGTATCATCCAACATGGTGGTCGATGCGCATAAGTCGTGGTACGTGCACATGCGTATGCATGATGGTGATGGTAATTTTCTTGAACTCGGATGTGTATACGGGCCCAGGAATTCGCTGACACTGACCTAATGTACACTGGGTATGTGAGATTACGCGATGTTGACATTTTTGATCCAAAACGATTGAATACACCAAAACGGTAATGCGCAAAAATCTGCTCTACTGTATTGATGCAGCAAGAGTCCGGTTGCAGATATAGCTGGTTGCCGGAAGTAAACATAAATGAACATAAACTCACCCATAACGAGTTTGAACTCCTTGACATACACAAGCTTATAAAAGGCACAAAACTATCTCATTTCGGCAGACCAGATAATGTACCTCCTGCACCTGTGAAACTCGGGAGTGTCGACATAAGCTTGTTGTGACTGAAAGCGTACAGGGTATCCATGAAATCGGTAGATTTACCACCATAGTTAAAAGCAGCCATTATTATACAGCGACCTAAATCGGGCTCACTGTTCGAAACAACGAACTAGCGCCCATTAAACCATAAATCTTTACTAGCAAAAATGATGGGGCGATTCATAAAATCTACAAACCTCGACATCCTACTGTCACGAAAGTAAACCAACAACTCTCAGCGCGGCTTTCTGAATGCTCGTCCAAGCATAGCATGCAAACTTGAATTTCAAATATCATCTACCGATCACACTGGTTAACAGCATGTCTGCAACCATGAGTTACCTCAATCTTCACGAAGATTTTGATCGTGTCACGTAGACAACTCATATTCAAAATAAAGTTGAATGTAATCGGAGAACCCAAGCTCTCGTGGATCAAATCGTACCTTACAATTCGAACACAAATGTTACATACTCAGGAACACAAATCTGAACCAACAACAGACACAAGTGGTGTAGTACACGGTAGTTTCCTTAGTCTCCTGCTCTTATTGATGTTTGTCAACGTTATGTTCGAACCAGTGAAATTCGAAATAACGTAAGTATTTTCCGGCGCCCTGAATTTAACTCTACGCACTCGCAACCTGGTGTTTAACGTGGCCAATGATAGTTACAAAAGATAGGTGCCACGAAACATCGTGCAAATGCGACATAAAATCTAGCAGGCTGTTACTTTATGATAAGCCAATTAATATATGCCACACCATTCAGGATCTGGGATTGAGATACACGTACTCGCTTAACTTCTCGGGAGAAGTAGCTTACGTCACTGTAAAAGCCAGACAGCAAATCTGAATCTTATTTAGAACACATAGATTAAATGAATCTAGACACCGTGCGCCTATTCATCACTTTCTCATCCTCTACTTGAATATTGCTCACAAACAAACGAGACGGCATTGAACTATAAAATGTAAAACGAACATTTACAAGATATTTCTTAGGCACCTAATCTAAACTAGAATAGTTCGAACGCTGTGAGAAACTCAACGTTGATCCCGTCTAGCTAAGGCGCAAATAACACAACTTAGGCATAATCTTTAATATCCTATTCAAGTCAAGTTAAGTCAAACTAAGTGTTATCGACCCTAATGGGTTCAGTTGCAACATTCACACCACCACTGCGGACACCTGGATGATAACATCAGTATACAAGCTTGGGAAGAAGAAATGGGAAACATCCACAATTTTTACTTCTACAACCGCTCACGCAGCATGTTAGTGACTTTCGCTGGGTCAACCAGCAAACGTGAGAGATAAGAAGAAACAGTATTACGATACGATAACGTGCAGCAGAATAATATTCTAATTTTCAAAAGAGTAGAAGAGAAAGAGAGCATCTTGCTAAGATTACTGTGCAGGGGGGTGGGATCGCTGAGTTAGTACTTTAGAAGAAAAATCATTAAAGGCAACACGATGTTTAGAAATGCTTCAATCAACTAAGGAATCTTTAGACAAGCCGCTGAATGTAAAAATATGCTCTTTAGAGCGCACCCATAAGGTATAGTCTTTCTGAAGCAGTCCAGGAAAAAGACTGGAGAGCAGTATAACCAGTGGGGACTAATGCGAATGGCAATAAGCATGAATATGAAACTATGAGGTACTGAAAGCCTCGTATGTGTGAGCGCATAAGAATAAACTTTTCTGACTTTTTGGAAAGTTCTTCAGACATGGGGGACCAAGATAGGTTATGAGACAAAAAGATGCCGAGATATTTGACGGTGGAAGAGCTGGATATGGGATTTTATTCACAGTAACTGTGGAGGCGAAATCTATAAGGGGCTGCAGCTTATCGGCACTACGAAAAGAAAATACTACATCACAGCATTTAGAAGTATTAAGCGTAAGAGATCTGGATGAAGACCACTCCACCAGATCTTCCACACCACTTTGAAGTGGTGAGAAATCCTGGTAGGTAGGGGGCATACATCCCAGCACAACATCGTCAGCATAGTTACACTCTATAAACGTGCGTTGTATAGGGAGGTGTTCAACATACAAGGAAAGCAGAAAAAGATGATAGGATCGCTCCCTGCAGAATCCCGCAGGCGGCATGGAGGAACAAAAATTATTATTGTTTAATTTGATGCATTGAGTACGATACATACAATAGTCACGTGACAGATTACACACACCCATGTAAACTCCACTTCCAGATAGCAGGTTTAGCAACCTTGACACACCCAGACTTACGAAAGCATTCAAATAATCCAGGAAGAGCAGCTATACGGATTTAAACTTTTGATTTAATGCAGAGTTTATAGAATGAACAAGATATGCCAATGCATCCAATGTGGAGCGCTGGGGTCGATACGC